AATACGGGGTAACTTAATTCATTAGTTCTGAGCTTGTTTCGTCCTTCTTCTTGTTCTCAGAATGGCAATTTTATAAGCTTTTTTTTTTTTACTCAAATTTTATAAGCTTATTTTACAAAACAAGTTTTAGGTGAAAATTAAAAAAAAGAATAATTTTTCTGAAAAAAACTAGATTGAAAAAATTACTCCCAAAATAGTAGGTTATAAGATGAAGAAGAAAAAATTGTTTGGTTTACTTGTTTCATATAATTGATATTGACATAGTTTTTGTAGCTATTTAATTGTATTGATAAACTATTCTGATCATACAATCTGAATAGAATGATCAACAAATGACATAAAAAAATTTTTATTGATAATTAAATAATAAAAAAAGAACTACCGACACTTTGTCTCTGCTTTTGAAAGAATTACTAATATAGTACATCATTTGCTTAATTTTTCTGGCCAACACATCATCTTGTCAATTTTAAACTAGTAAAATGCTCAAAGGATTAAAGCGTCGTCCATGATTTTCTTTGCAAGGAACCAATTGACATTCTCCCTTTAAAGACACCCAATTAATAAAAAAAAATCTAATAATAAGTGTTAAAAAATTGTGTCCTAAAAAAGTATCCTAAACCATTGCTTGCTCTTTAACCTGTGGCATTTGATACGGGGAAAATAAAGATGAGAAGGAAAAAAGTAGGGGAAACAATTTTATTGTGTTAAATACAAAAGATTAAAATGTAATTTTAATACTCCTCCGGTCCTTAATATAAGACTCATTTAACTAATTTGATTAAATTAAGGAAGTTAGGTAAGTTAGTTAATTATAAGAAATATGATACATTTTTCCTAAAATACCATAATCATCTTTTTTAATACCTCAACTCCCTTTTTTGTTTGGTTATGGTTGGGGGAGTATCTACAGGGGTAATTTAGAAAAAATTGATAAATATGATAAATGGGTCTTATATTTAGGACCAAAACCAACTCAATAATTAGGTCCTATATTAAAGACCGGAAGAGTAATAAAGTTTTAGACTAATAATATCTTACGCCATCAAGTTTTGAACGGTGCAAAAGCATATACAAGCTTTAAAAAAGCAGTGCAATTTTCTCGCATTCATTACGTGGTCCAAATGTCCATTTACTTTTTGAGGTAGTTCTATTTTTTCACTCTCTCCTCTCGCCTCACTAGTCTTCTTCCGCCCTTGTCTTTAATTTCCTCAAACTCTCTCTCCCTCCTCCACGGTAGCCACTCCCAACACATTTTTCAGATCCTCTTCTTGCCCTGGCACAAAATTACTAACCTGTTCTTCTTCTCCCTGCACAAAATCACTCTTCGCACCCAGGCTCATTTGCTCCCTTCACCCTCATCACAAAGGGCCTCGCTCACAATTGTGCCGACACGACCAAAATTGCAGGCTTCACCCTCCCCTCCTCTGCTCTCCTTGTCTCTATATGTAATTCCTTCTTTTTCATTCGTTCGTTTTTTTAGTAATTCTGAGAATAACTTCTAATGTGACCCATAAAAACAGAGGAAGAAACAAACAAGATAGAGTGATATGATGCTAACGGTTTGTTTAGGGAGGAGTTGCCCGGCTGTTGCAAAGCAGGAGCTAACAAAAGATGGCCGAGGAAGTGGGGAAGAAAGACGACAAATGGAGAGAGATTTTTAATATGCATTCGTAAAAACATCTATAAACACATTTTACATAAGCTGAAATAAAAAAAAATTTCACATATTTATGTTATATTTCATAAATAATAATTAAAAAACTGTTTATGACTTATTTAAAACGGGCCTAGTTCACCCCAAAGAGGCCTTAGTTCAATTGCCAACTGGAGTTTAACACGGGCAACATGAAATGTCAGTAGAGCGTCCTGTTTACGAGTTATTGAAAACGAAAATACTCCTCCGGTCCTTAATATATGACCCATTTAACTAATTTGATTAGATTAAGAAAGTTAGGTAAGTTAGTTAATTATAAAAAAAGTGACACATTTTTCCTAAAACACCATAATCATCTTTCTTAATACCCCATCTCCCTCTTTTACTTGATTATGGTTGAGGGAGTATTCATAGGGGTAATTTAGAGAAAATTGATAAATATAAGAAAGAGGTCTTATATTTATGATCAAAATCAACTTGAGAATTAGATTCTATATTAAGGACCGGAAGAGTAACACGAGACGACAATAACGGACCGGGAAACCGAAATGTTGAACACCTTGCGGAGATGAGTACGCAGAAAGCACTTCGTTAGAATGATGCCGTGGCATAATTGAAGAGAAAATGGTTAATGTTTATCAAAATAACAACATTCAAATTGTATTGTTTGCCAGAAAAGGCAGACCTTCCTTCTTCGGAAAAGCTGAAGACAAGCCTTCCTCCCGCAAAGAGAGACAACATGCTACTTTGAAATATAGATCAGATATTCCTTTTGATGAATCCACTTCCAAGCGTATCAAATGCAGCATCATCGCCATTACAGTTTACATGACACGTTCAAATTTCCATCTCATTATAGGTCACAGAAAAAAAAAAAAAATCCCATTAGTCTGTCTCTATTATCTAACTACTTATTTGCTTTTAGGTTGGAAACATGAGCCTTTATATGTAATTTCCAATATAAAGTTAGTTTTATATCGCTTTAATAAGAACACGATTTTCAGTTGACTTGACGATTTCTAAATAACACCAAACAACTCCGTTTAATTTCTATGAGTGTGTTTGGGGGCATTCAGCCCCAGAACAACGCAAAGTGTACTGTGCAGAGAATTGAATGTCCCAAAACACACGTAATCCTCTAAGACTGCTCCGCTGGTGGATTTAATTAGCAGATAAAAGCTCCTCTGATAATTTTACAAATTAAACTTACTTTTATTTAATCACAATCCAAATAATATTTTATCTAATTTAACTTTTACAAACTAGTTTTTATAAATCTAATTTAAGAACCTATTTGGGTGCCTTCCAAAACCATGGTTTGGGTGAAATGTCACTCAAAAAGTATTAATTTTGGACCAATAATCTGAAACTATGGTTTGGGTTAAAATCATGGTTTTGAAATCCGAAACCATGGTTTCAGGAAAAATAAATCCATTCTACTTCTGGCTCAAATTAGAGAGTATGATTGTACCTATCAGAGTAGATCTCAACAATAATATGACTTTAACATCCCTCAATTATTTTTTATAAACATATTTAATCTTATATCTTATAAATATATATATACATATTAATTATTTATTAATTACATTATCTTATGTATTATTAATTATGTTGGTTAAAAATATATTATTAACAATTTTATTCTTTCAAATTAAAATATATCATAAAATCTATCTTTTATGTAGTTATCATATTAACTTATGCTTTTTTTTAGTAATTTATATATATAAAAAGTGCTTCTGATTACAGCTATCCAAACACTTTCACTTCTCAGAATCACTTTTTCACAAAATCTATTCTCCTCGAAATCTATTTTCCAAAAGCTATTCTCCGAACCATGGTTTGGTTTCATCCAAACACCTCCTAAAAAAATTAAGAAAAGAAGTTAAATTAGTTATTTATAATAAATAGGTGTTGTATTTCTCAAAATATCCTTACTAATAAAAAATGTTGGTTAAAACTATAATTATTAGAATGACTATCTTAGAAAAAATTGAATAAATATGAGAGACAAAATGAATTGGAGTTTTATATTTAGGATCAACATAAAAGTTAAACGGGATCTTATATTAAGGAGGGAGGTAGTATGTTCTTAACTTTGTAAGAAATTTTTATCCAAAAACATATGTTTGAGAAATTTGGCTTGATTGAAATTTTTTTCTCTCTGGTCAAAAAAAAAAATTCTGAAATTTACTTTCAGGAACAATCTTTAGAGTGTGTTTGGATGAAACCAAACCGTGGTTTGGAAAAGTGATTCTGGAGAATAGATTCTGGATGAAGAATAGATTTTGTAAAAAAGTGATTCTGAGAAGTAAGAGTGTTTGGATAGTTGTTATCAGAAGCACTTTTTATATATACAAATTACTAAAAAAAAGACATAAGTTAATATGATAATTACAGAAAAAATAGATTTTATGATATATTTTAATTTGAAGGAATAAAATTGTTAATAATATGTTTTTTACCAACATAATTAATAATACATAAGATAATATAATTAATAAATAATTAATGTGTATATATATTTATAAAATATAAGATTAAATATATTTATAAAAAAATATGTTTATAAAAAAAATAACAAGATACATATCATATAGGCCCTCACACTCTCCCTTTTTTCTCCAAAAGCAAAAAAAATTTGCTTTTTCCAAAACCATGGTTTTGGTTTTTGGAGGGGGTGTTTGGGTAGATTATTCCCCAAACCATGGTTTGGGGTGTCACCCAAACACACCCTAAATAAAGGAAGCAGAAGTGGTATAGTTGATTCTTCTTTTTTTATTATTCTTTTATCTCATTTTTTTTATTCTTTTATCATTTAATCTTATTAACATTTTTTCGCTAATTTAATTTAACATATTTCGATATAATGAACTGATATAAAATTAGGAAGAGTAATATAAACGGAATGAAAAAATTTCTCTTAAGAGCAGGCAAAATCACTCGCCCAGATCTTTAGTCAAACCTTGTTGTATTCAAAAGATTTCAAATGTATCATTAACCAACATAAGCATGCTTCTGCAAAATGTAATACTAGCTAGTACATACTATATTTCAAACAAATCCTGTACTCTACATTTTTATTCACTTTTCCAGAAACTGGTCTGAGCTATACAACTCAACGGCAAACATCTTTTTGTAATCTTTTGATGACATACATATAGCAGGAAGAGCAGACAGCCTTTTTATTTTATAATATGGAGAAATATTATTTTTTACCCAATATATGCTACAAACTTGTCCATCTAATAAAATAATGTAGTATTCTTCATTATGCAATTCCTTTTTCAAAAAAAAAAATCTGCAATTTAACCAGCGGGCTTGCAAGCAACAACACACAAGAAATTTTCTCATAAACATTATCATAGTTGGAACTATGCATTTTCCAAGCCTCTAACAACAGAGATTACAAAGGAATTTAAAAGAAAAAAGGAAGGGACTTCAACTTTGTATACACTTTTCCTACTGGAATTTAGGAAAAACTCCAAATGCATAGCACAGCAATTTTCTCCAACATAATATATATTCACTGGAAAGCTACTAAGAAATAAATAGTCGATGACACGAAATCAATCATATAGATATATTCATATATTTATAGCTCATCAGCTCCAAGAACACATTGATGATTATTCTTTGCCCATGCAACACTCACGTGCTCTTGCCCCTTCATTCTCATGGCCCATGCATCAGACAATGCTTCCCTTTTACCGACGATGTAATTACATTTCAGAAATTCTTCTCCTCTGTTGCAATGTTCAGCAGACCAAAAATGCAGACAGAAATCAGCTTCCATACCTTCCTTCTGATTTCATTGGCTCCAATCTTTTTTAGAAATAACCTATATAGTCGACTATATATGCACCTATATGCTAGGTAACTACTAATATTCAAACTAAGATATAAATATATATTTAAATTGCATCATGGAGATTTTACTCCAATTGTAACTTGACAAGACTATAATATATTTGCTATGATTAATTAACTAAGCTAATTAAGTATCATGCCTAGTTTGCATGAGAAATCTTGGAAGGCCAATTTTAGAACCCAAGTTTTGAACATCTTCTCGAACTTGTTGCCTATATTCCATGAAGCTGAACTTCCTGTACACAGCGGGTTCTGTGCAGCTCGCTATCAATGTGTCGTTGGAAGGACAAAAGAAATAAGCCGTAGAGAACCTCTCCACTCGCATGTTCGTCATTACTCGGTGCTCAACACTCTTATATACTCCATTGCTCCATGCCTGCACCACAATATAAATATATTTATATAAAAGAGACCTCTCGAGTAATCAAGTTTTTCTAACAACGGAATTCATATCAAAGTAAATTGGAAATGTGAGGGCCAAGAAAGTAGGTACCTGGAATAAGTCACCAATGTTGATGATAAGGGCGTCAAGATTTGGTTTAACTGCAATCCATTTGCCATCTTTCACCAGCTGCAACCCTCCGACTTGATCTTGGTGCAATATGGTGAGGAAATCGCTATCAGTGTGAGGCATCAGACCATGAATTTCTGAAAACAAAGGACATGGAGGATATCGGTTCAATCGAAGATAGCAAGTGCTGGGCAAACAATTTTCCTGGAAGAAGTTCGACTTGTGCCCCATCTTCTCTTCCAGAATTTCAGCTAATCTCTGCGCAAGACTTGACACTGTGCTAGCAAACTGTTCTATGGCTGAGCTGTATGCGCATGTATACACCCAAAAAATATTATATTTATGCTTCATATTTACAAATATTACCTAAAAAAGCATTTTGTAAATGGACTGCCATGAAATAATCTTTGTTCACTTATAGCCTGAGGGTAAGTTGGAGTAGATCACACATCACACAACAACTTTCAAAGAAAGTAGCAAAGGCTAATGTACATAAACCATGTGTTATTTTCTCAGTAAAACCAAGTATCCTTGATAAATAAAGGCCTCTATAATTATCCAAATTGAAAACTTATACATTAGGTAATCATTCTATGCTTTTCTCTTCGTTAATGAGCAATTGTCCCTTGTTTAATCATTGGAATAGGTGCCGTTCATATCAGCGAGCGCCGTCCTTTACTAACAAGCTAGGGAATCATTCATCAGAATGACTACAGCCTATTAATCTGTCAGGTTCTTCAGCAGCTTGAGACGTTCACGTGAGGAACAATATGGGGTAGACGAAAAGGAATGATGGAAATGGCAGGCCATGTGTGCATACTGAATTTGTGTAAACAAATTTTGGGGGATGGAGACTTGGAGGAAAGCAAAAAACGTGTAGTATCTGTGTGGCATGTGGGGTTGGTGGGTGTGAATAGTTGCAGAAGCAAAAAAGTCTGATATGGCATATCTTGAGTGCTGTGCTGACGGTGGCACCAGAAATTGACTATACATAGAATCGACTTTTCTAGAGACTGAGTCCAGACAGTGCCCTGTGAAAGCAGAAAGGGTCTCATACTTTCCTGTCTTGAGACTGACACACTTGAGCTGCATAATGTAACCAAGTCTAAAGAAAGAAAAGCACAGATGTGATTCATGTGAACAAGTTGAACCGAACAGGATTACGTTGCATTCTAGCCTGTGTGAATGCTTGAGCCATATGTAATGGCAAAAGACGAAATATGGTAATGTTGGACATTAAAAATAACCAAAAAAGCCAATTGAAGTGGGAATGTCTTGTCTAATGTCTGAGCCCGGGTTCGAACCGGGGACCTCTAGTGTGTGAGACTAGCGTGATAACCAACTACACCACCCAGACAAGTTGAGAGCCTGTGGCCAATATAATTATTTCATTAGCAAAGTAATTAAATCTAACAACCTACATCGAAGAGTAAAAGTGACTTTTCTCCCGTCAAAGAATTCTAGAAACATTGGATGCCAAATGAATTTTGAAAAACCACATGCCAAATTTTTCTTCTATACAAGAAAATGAGTCTAGGGAAATGTCACTCACATAGAGATGACCAGAAAGGAAAACAAGAGAGGAGAAGCCACCCGAACCACCTCCATTCCCTAGCTACTTTAATTCTTTCTGTATATCCTCATTTCTCATAGGGTATGGGACTTGCAGAGAACCCATAATAAGAAAATGAGGTTTTTTTACTTTTTCTTCCTGCTGTTATACTGATGTCCTCCCGGGGCCACTTCCACTTAAAAAATAGACATATCAAAATCTTAACCCCTCCCTATCAAGAGGGGGGACCAATATTATAACCAACACCATGTAACCGAAACTGGATTGGCTTAAATCCTTATACTTTGAAAATGTGATACACATACAAACACACAAACAAATATTATATATTGAGTAAACAATACAAAGAGGCAATTAAAACTGGAGACTATTTTTAATCATGAAGCCATGCTTTTATATATATCCAGAATGAAAGGAAAAGAGCTAAGCATGGTGTTGTTATACCTGAGACTGTTGGATCCAGTTGAACCCAGTATATCAGTAAGAGGAATATGAAAGGCTTCAGACCAAGATAACTGTCGAATGCAGGTAGCAGAAGGCGCTCCCCAACGGTAAGTACCCGCTGAGAAGTTGAAGAACTTGTCTTCCTTCACTTTCTGCGCAAATGGCTGCTTGAACACCTTCTCCTGCTCAACCCTAATCTTCTTGAGAATCTCACTGGAAACCCCATGATTCACCACCTGAAAGAACCCCCACTCCTTTGAAGCCCTAGCTATCTCCGTCTTGCACTCCTCCCTCTCCCTCTCGTCCTCCCCATCCAACCGCCTCAGGTCGATCACCGGAAGCTCCCTCTCCTCCACCACAACACCTCCACCAAGCTCAGCTGCACAGCTAATAAAACTGTCATTAAGGCTTTGGTTCTTCTCGAGGAGGACCTTGTAGGCCTCGTAAAAGGGTGGGTCTGAACTAGATTCCATGCTAGCTTGAGGCTGCAAAAAGAAGAGGGAAGAAGGTGATGAGATTATATAAACGAGTGTGAACAAGGGATTGATGTATAGAGAAAATATAGCAGACAGGGACAAGCACTTTTGGTTGCTTTGTGTCCTCTGTTCATTTCGCCCTTGATGAAAACGTTTCACACTTTGGAGACTAAGGCAGTAAACACGTCTTTATATGTTGAGACAATCGATTCTCTTCGTCTGTTATCTTTTCTGCACTGTGCTTAGTTGTTTTTAGTTACACACCATTGCGTAACATCCACACGCATTTCGAAGGATTTGGTGTAAAAGTTATACAGGAAGCTGTTAAGACCTTGAGGATCCGTGATTTGGTCTTTCTATATATACTATGCGGAAGTTTTTTAAATGTGATCACATGCGATATTTTTATAATAAATGGATAAAAATTTTACTTAAGTATTTCCCCAAAAGAAAAATCTAACTTAAAAATGGGTGCACCAGTAGAAAAAATCTAACAAAAGTGAAATAACATTCATTTCAAATTAATGGTAACAGTGTCTGATAGGATTTTGATTTTAAGTTCTTCCTTTTTGGCCTGAATTCGAATTCTTATTTAAAAATAATTAGCATATATGAAAATAAAATAAATACATACACGACGTCAAATAAATTTAAGTAATTATTTATAATAAGAAGTAAAAAAAAATCCAAATCTAACTACTTTTAATATCTTTGAGCAATGAACTATTTTTTGTATCTTTATTTCCAGATTGTCTCATAAAAACATAATAATTGTATGAACTTTTTTTGCAACTCAATGTATATCACATAACTTTCAAAAGAACACGCTTATTATTATAATTATAAAAAAATAGTAAGAATCTAAATAATTAACTATATACATAACACATACACTCGCATAATGTTTCTTCATCGTGCATATATGGCTTCTGGGGATTAGTTGATATCTGGGAATTCAACTCGGTTGGGTTACCTCCACAAAAGGGAAAAAGTGGAGCCCATTTCTTTGTCATACAAGACCTAGTACATAGGAAAAAGGAAAAAAAATCGAAACTTACGGAAGCAGAATACTTCAATTATTTGCTGAGAAAAGAACCCTTTTAGTATTATATTCCAACATCAGTATTATTTAATTCAAACACGATACCCATTTGAGACTGGCGACTCTTTTCAGTCTACATACATATACCCCTTGTTATGTCGGTGCATATAGATCAAGACACGCACTTCCTTTGACAAATCAAAGTTTACCAGAAATCATAAGCAACCCCACGTCTTTCAATGACTTAATCATCTGAAACTGTCCTATAAGAGATAGTATTCTTTATGCTTTTTGATATGAATCAACTTAGGATGGTCTATGGTGGATGATATGAAGGAAGAGAGAAGATTTGTCTTCATCAAGTTGTGGCAAAACAGTACAAAGAAACCTCGACAAGGCACGGTAACATTAAAGCTGATATTGGAGGCTGAGTCATTCGGACATTTCTATCTTGACATCCCAGAAAAAAAAAACTGTGACTGTTTCGGAAGAGTCTAGATCATTGATCCTTTTTAGTATTTTATTTTCTCACTCCACCTGGATTTCAAACAAATTAAAGCTTTGGCATGTTACATGCAAACCTAGGATCTTCTCCTCATTTCAATCCAGACCCAGATATAAATATATAGACAGTAACGAGTATATCTAATAGCGTACATATCTACATATTTATTCATGATTAGCTTGGTCGTCTAATTAAAAATTACTCTGCTGTTCTCAAAGCAAAAGACAGATGGTATCATATAGTAGAGTTGAAAATATGGATTCTTAAACAAAAGATTTGTTTAGTATTCTCTCTTTCTAGGTTGATCATGTGGTAGGAAACCACATGTATGTTGGAATTTGAGAAGGGTTATTATATGGCAGCAAGCATTACTGAAATTTGAAACGCACAATAAATAAATCTGCGACTGACATTCACATGGTCACATCCCTAGAATCAGATCAGATAGTCAAACCTACTGACTCGATCTGTTGACTTATACATATAATTAATTAATGATCTCTAAAATTCCATCACAGGGACAAATCGAAGCATAATATAACTAAGTGTCCAATATATACTCACTGTAGTTTCTTAATTACTCACCGGATTGAAACTGCTCAACGAGCTATGAGACTCCATCGTCGTGCATCCTTTAACTTGAGAACAGATGGTCTGCATAGTGCACTCACCAGTCCTGCGTATAAAAAGCTTCACTGAAATTTGAAACCAATAGATAAACACAATCTTGTTTACATCATGGAATTTAATGCTATTTATTTTGGATGTCCTTTATCTGACTATACTTGTTTCTTTCACTAGAAACTGAAAAAGACATTTCCATGTCATATATTCTTAGCTTCTTGCAGGAACTTTAGATTTAAGGAGATTATATATATGCTGATGGAGAAATGAAGAATGATAGATACAGAAGATGAAAAGTACATAAATGCAGAATGGTTGGAATTCTAATGAGAAATGCAGAAGATATTAATAGCACTCACCTAGAGAAGAAGAATGATATGAAGTGGGCTTTCAGCTTATTGTGAGAAATTGAGTTAATCTAAAGCATTGGGAGAACAATAATTTATAGGCAGAAAAGCCCATCAATTATTGTCATCACACAGATGTACCTAAGGAAATAGTTGAGGATTGAAAACTTCTGCTCAAGAGAAGGACCACGCGGCTCATGGTGCTATCAGAGAAAAATATTGCAGATTGATTTTTATATTTATGCCAAAAAAATTTCGGCATCAATGATATCTAATTTTTCTTTTTTTTCCCAAGTACAAATAACAGGGGACAGTGAGAAAAGGGCTTGGCGACAAAGGAAGGGATGGAGAAAGAGAGACTTGGAGGAATGAGAACCATACTTCTAGAAGAGTCCTATCTGATTCAATGACAATATGATGAGTGCTGGGTTTACATTGTGTTGTTCAATTTGACAGCAAACTCAACAGAGTTAACCCAGAGTGAAACTAAAATCACATGGGAAGAGAAATACGTACATGGATGTTTAGTACACTGAGAAGCACCAGTGACTCAAGCGTAATCTGTGAGTCCATGTCGGCACAGAAACGTGGCTCCACCTTGGGGGTCACATGCATGTCCTCCTCCTTATTTTTCGTTCGTTAAATTGGTTTGGAATTCAAATCTCTCAGACGTGAGAAGAAGTGAGGCTAATTAGTGCGTAGAGGTTAAATTTTGAAAGTGAGTGAGGATGAGAGAGATTGAGACGAGAGGCATGTGCTTTGCTTACATGAGAAAGGACATGAGAATCAGTCTCAGAGCATAAGCGTCTCAAAATAATGAAAAATATCCCATTGAGGCATTTCATCAATCACCATTGGTCCCTCACTTTGTCCCGACAGTGACTGAACATGTTCATTTTTTTTTAATTTCTTTGGAAAAACCAAGACTTTCCCTGTTACTAGGCATCTTGACTGGCTTGATGCAAATGGTCATCAGCTTTTTGGATTCAAATCCTCTCAGCTGATCAGATTACAAAGTATTATGAAGCCAGAGATCAAGAACAGAGAAAAAATGAGAGTAAATAGTAATATGGTATTCTTTGAAACAGGTGCTAGGATATAAATTCCAAGTTTTATTTTTTGAATTAAAAAGTTATGAGCAAGATGATGCTTTTCTTACAAGAGCACTCTCATACCATTAGATTACGAAAGTCATTGGCTTTCTAATATTGTTTAAGAAAGGTGAAATAAATACGACACTAATAAAGGTAACACTGATTTACATGCAATTCAGCCTCAGAGGAGGGCCCATCTTCGAAAGGATAGGTGTTAAAGCCTACACAAAGAACAGAGGAAATCAGAGTCGGCACTCTGATTGATTTCTTCTTTTTGCACAGTAATGTGAAGGTGAAAATGATAAGATATGCGCTAGACGGTATGAGATGACAAATAGGGTGGCTCGGGCAATGATTAATGAATACGTAGTGACTAGCAAGAAGCTAAGTCTAATAATGGTGTATGATTAAAATTTCTAATCTTTCTCCATCATTGAGACTGGTGAGAGGACCGGGAATCAATGAGGAGGAAGTAAATCTCCACTACAAAAACCTGCGTCTCATATCCTTCTCCTAAACTCATCGTTTTTAGATTCTATTTATAATTGTAATTTTTATATTAAAATTTTATCGATATATATATATATGGGAGAATTGCAATTAGGTCACGCTCAAAAGAATTAAATGTAAAAAAATTCCTTAAAATCATAAAATTATTCTGAAGTTCTAAGAAATCTTATTGTAATAAATTCTATTTGTTTAATTTCTAAATTGTTTTTTTTTTTAAGTTTGCATTGACAACTGAAAAGGCAGTTATTGACAACTTAAGGTACAAGATTGACAACTATGACGACTGGTATTGACAACACATTTTCTCAACACATCACAAATTTAATGCATAAATTGTCAATACCAGCTGCGATAGTTGTCAATTCTTGCACTTTAAGTTGTTAATGCTTTTTTAGTTGTCATATAAACTTTAAAAAAAGAAAGGTAATTTGGTAATTAACAGATAGAATTTATTGCAAAGAAATCCCTTGGGACTTCAGAGTAATTTTATGATTTCAAGAGATATTTTTGTATTTAATTCCCTTGAGTGGACTCAATTGCAATTTCCCATATATATATATATATAAAACATAATCTAAACTAAACCATCTCTATATATTATCTTGTATAAATCTAATAAAAATTGATGCTGTGATTCTTTTGACTTACAAATTAGTAGTGTTATAATTTTGATATTGACTTACAATCATACTTTGTGTTTTATTGTTTTGTAATCTATAAGGTGTTTGTAATTTTTTTATTTTTGAATGTTAAAATATAAGTCACCCTAAATTTTATTTCCATGGGTTGAAATTTTAGTTATTCATAGTTTATAAATAATATTATTTATTTTACAGACTTTGTTTAGTGGGAAAATATTAAATGAATTCTAAAACTAACTCAATTTTATTCATTAATGTAGGCTTATATTTTTTATAAGTTGCTTTTTTAATAAAAAATATTTTTTCTATAACAAAAAATTATGTTAAGAGAAGAATACGCATTAACTACAAAATCATTGATTTATTTTTTTAATTCTCTTTTAGTCTAATGTATCATCTTTAATTTTTTTTGATATTTTCATTTATACAAACCAAGGGAAGAGAAATTCAAAAGGGATTTCACGTCCGTATATATTCATCAACTTGAATATCATAATTACATATATAATTTGATATGCACATATACGCAATGAATGAAGATTATGAGTAGCACATAATATACTAACGA